GCCGCGCTCGCTGCCGACCCCGCGCCCGCCGCTCGCGTCGCCGCCGCCCGGGCGCGCGTCGCCGCCGCTGAGCGCGCCCACGAGCCGCGTCGGCAGCAGCAGCCGGCTATTCAAGGTCAGCAGCAGCAAGAGGATCTGCACCGACGCCATGGTGTCCGCGCTGCAGCAGGAGATCCGGAAGCGGGGCAGGCACAGCCTGGAGATCTCGGATCTCGTGATCCAGGAGCCGCTGGGGCAGGGGGGCTTTGGCAAGGTGTACAAGGGCGCGTGGCACAGGCGCACGGCGGCGGTCAAGGTGCGCGCGGGCGGCGGCGCGCCCCTCTGCCTCCCGTCCGTGCGGGCGGCGGCGCACTGAATGCGTCCCGCACACCCCTCAGAACTCAGCAAGGGAATCTCATCCCCGCGCAGCACCCTTGACAGGCAGCGGGTTCCCCCAAAGCTTGGACCAGCATGCCAGTGCTTTTGTGATGGGTGTTAATCGCCCCACCCACCTGTCCAAGCCCGTCTGCTCACGTCGCCCCGCGCCGCCCCGCCCTGCGCCGCCGCCGCCGCCGCCAGGTCATGAACGCGCGCTCCAGCGCGAGCGAGGCCGTGTCTGATGCCATGGAGATGGCTGTGCTGTCATCGGTGCAGCACCCGGGGATCGTGCAAGTGTACGCCTGCCTGACAGACATGGTGGAGCTGCCCAGGGGTGGGTGGGACCGGCAGTGGGTGGGGCCGGCTGGCCGGGGGTGGGCGGGGCCGGCCGCCCATCAAGGGTTTGTTTGTGCAGGTGGTAGTTTGGCGGGTTGTTTTTGGCTGATGGGACCGTCGCTAGCAAAAGCTGCATATTGTTATGGACGTTTTGAGGGTGACTGGCACCAAGACCTGTGGCCCGATGCGGGGCAGTAGTTGCAATGGAGAGAACAGGGCGCGGAACGCGTTATTGTGCAACATGATCAAGTCCGCGCTAGCACGCGCGCGCGCACACGTGCGTGCGTGCACACACACACACACACACACACACATACACACACACACACGCGCGCGCACACACACATACACACACACACGCGCACACACACACACACACACACACACACACACACACACACAACCACCTGCACACACACACCTCACTGCACCCCTCTCTCCCCCGCAACCAACCCCCCAGGCTTTGACAGCGCCCAGTCCCTGGGCTCTCCAGCCAGCCCCGCCCACGGCTTCAAGCCGCCCCGCTACCGCCGCCTGCTGCCCGGGGAGGAGCCCGACGACTCCAACGCCCTCAACATCATAGTCATGGAGTACTGCGACCAGGGCACGCTGGCGGAGGCGATCAAGCGGCCCGCGGGGCGGTTCCACACGCCGATGGAGGACGGGTCCATCGGCGTCAACCTGCCGGCGGTCGTCGACGTGGGTGGCGGCTGTTTTTGCCGGCGGATTGTTTGCGGTTGTTTTTGCATGTATGATAGATGTTGCCGTGCTGGTGGTGTTCCCCAGGTGGTATTTTGCTGGGGGCCTTTTGCTAGGGGTTTTTTTGCAGCAACATGAACAGGGGGCTCGGCCGGTGCTTTCTGGACGGATTGTCAGGTTCTTGTGCTGGTTGTTGCACGGGGCGTTGCGGGTGCGCGTCAGCGGACCAGACGGCGGGGGCCTTGGAGTCGGTCGTCGGGGGAGATTTAGGCGCTGTCGCGGGTGGCTTGCGGGGCTGCTTGGGCGCCAGCGATGATGGCTGGGGGTGACGCTGGTGTCACTGCCTCGCGGCCGTTGGCAGAAGGAGGGGCCCGCAAGTTGGCACCTGGGCCGCTGACCGCACGCACACACACGCGCGCGCGCGCCCTCACCCTCGGCCTCTCGAACTGAGTGCCCTCAACCCTCACGACACAACCCCGCCCCCGGCCCTCATCACGGCCCCCACCAAACCAGGTCCTGCTGGACGTGGCCCACAGCCTGGCCTACCTCCATTCTGTGGGGCTGGTGCACGGCGACGTGAAGCTCGACAACGTGCTGCTGAAGACGGACGCCGGGAAGCAGCTGGGCTTTGCGCCCAAGGTGGGGCCGCGCGCCGGGGTGTGGGACCACACGCCGGGGGAGGGGATTGATGGGAGGTGCGGTGCCGGGCAGTTTGTTGGTTGTGGTGCGGGCTGCGCTCGGGGACGGGTCTTTTGGGAGGGGGTGCGTGGGTGCAGGCTTGCGTGAGCAGGAACCGAGGGAGGGGGCTGGGATTGCGCGGGAGAGACGGGGGGCTAGGGCAGCAGCTGAGGCGGTCGGGGCATGCAATCGACCAGCGCTGCCGGAAGCGTGCCGACACAGCCAACAAGGCCGGGCGGGCGATGCCGTTGTGCATTGACCAATGGCGCACGCGCACGTCGCATTGTATCATGCCCCAACACCCTGCGAACCCCTTAGTCCGCCGCCTGTCATAAAGCATATAATCACGCCACACCCTTCAACCCTCTCCCCCTCCCCCTCCCCAGCTGGCGGACTTTGGCCTGGCCCGGCTGCTGCGCGACAGCCATGACGTCATCAACCTGACCGGCGCGGGTGAGCCGCCGTTTGTTTGACCATTCTTTGACCGGCTTTTGACTGTGCACTGCAGACGTTGCCGAGGCGTCCGCTGCATCAGCCGTTGCGGGCACTCCCACAGCTGCCAAATCGGGCATCTCCAACTGCTTGTTGGGGTATGCGTCTCACATTTTTGCGATGCTATTCCCGCCTGTCCCTTCACACCTCCCTTCTCGCGGCGCCGCCGCCCCTGCCGCTCTCAACGCACTGCCGCCAGGCACGGTGACCCACCTGGCGCCGGAGCTGCTGCAGGCGGGCACCAAGATCACCACCGCGGTGGACGCCTACGCGTTTGGGGTCTGCCTGTGGGAGATGTACACCGGCAAGAGGGCGTTCGCAGGTGAAGATCTCATTGTTGGGGGTGTAGCACGGCAGAAATGTTTGGAAAGCGGCCGCCGCCGACCTGCGTCGACGGGGTGTTGGCGCATATGCACGTGTTTGCAAGGGTGGTGCGTCGGTCTTTGTGGTTGATGTTGCCGAGCGGTGACCCGAAAAAGGGCGGGCGTGCGGTTGTGATGGGAGGGCGGCGCGCTCACAAACAGGCCGGCGTGTCAGAGGTCACTGGTGGACGTGAGCAGAAGCAGCATCTGCCACGTTGCCAGCGCACATCTTTTCCTTCAGAATAATGCGCAGGCCCTCACCTGATGTCACCGACATCCGCTTTTGCTCGTCTCCTCCTCACCAACACGCACACCCTATCCTCCCCGCTCATCTCCCCTTCAACTAGGCCTGCCCCGCACCACCATCATCGAACGCGTCCTCCGCCACGGCGCGCGCCCCTCCTTCCCGCCCGCCGCGCCGTCCGCCTACGTCCGCCTCGCCGAGGCCTGCTGGGCCGCGGCTCCCTCGGACCGCCCGGCGCTGCCCGAGGTTGCGCAGCGGCTGAGGGAGATTTCCGAGGCGCTCGCGCGCGCCGCGCGGAAGGGCGCCGACGGCGGCGGCGGGCCGGTGTCGCAGCTCGGCGGCAGCTCTTCGAGCCCGCTCTGAGCTTGTCGGGCGAGGCGGGGGCGGGGCGTTGGGTGTCTGGCAGGGTGATCTTGGGGTGATCTGTGCGCAATAAAATCGCCGCGGCAGGGTTCAGCCGGACGGCGGCCCGACGCCTGCCAGAGTGCAGGTGTGGGTCGACGCAGGCTGCGCAAGAACTGATTTGGAAAGCAGAGGTCTGTTTGGATGGGGGGCAGTAACTCAGTACGAGCCACTTGGTGGCGGGCCGGGTTGGCTCGGGGCGCGGCCCCGCCGGCGGGCGCTCGCCCGAACGCGCAAATAAGCTGTGAGCGCGCCCCGGCCTGGCCTGGCCGCGCCCCTCCCCGGCGGCCGCCTTTAGTTTTGAGACCGGCGCATCAAGACGCAGGCAGCAGCAGGCGACGACGCGTGCTGCCAGGCACAGGGCTGGGGTGCTGCTGTCCCGGATGCGGCACGTGGGCATGTGGCAGGCAGCAGGCTGGTTTGCGTTTTGTTCAACCCAAACCCCGTCCTTCCAGGCAAGCGTTCTAGGTAGACAATGAGTTCCCTCAACGTTTTGCTCCGCAAACAGACGGGGCACAAGCGAGCGCACCTTTCCTGCCGCACGCCGGATATGATGTTCACTTTGTTGTGTGTCTGGATGTGGGTCTGATGTTCCCTTTGTTGCGTGTCTGAACGCAGGTCCCATGTTGACTTTTGTGAACAAGGGTCCGATGTTGACTTTCTTGTCTGTCCGAACGCAGGTTGGCTGTCATGCTGCCTGCGCTCATCCGCGTTGGCGGCGCTTTGCTGAGCCCTGTTGGTGTGTGCCTCAAGTTTTAGGGCAGCGCTGAAGCATGCACAGCAATGATGGCCTCGCGTTTTGCGGGCTCTGAACCCCCTGCCTTTTTGCACGCCGGCGGGCCGGGCGGCTGCGACCCGCCTTGGCCGGCATGGTTTGCTCCCCGCGTTTCCGCTGGCTCTGCTGTTTGGAACGTCTTGCGCGCACACTGCAGCGGTTCACTACAGAAGGCCCCAAGATGATGTTGGTCGGATGCTGGGGCTGGTTTAGCGCCGCTTTTTTGCTGCGAGCCCTCAGCGACTCCCCACTGGATCCTGGCATGAAATTGTGGACCGAAGGCCGGCTGTTTCCGGCTTCTTTGCGGCAGTACCTAGCACGGGGCATGCTGCATGCGCGCTCCAAAACATTCCACACAAACCGCCTTCCTTACAGCAGGATGTTGCACTGGGTCCCGAAGCTCTTTGTGGCAGACTGGCATTTTCACCTGAAGCACATGAGCGGCGGCTTTTCCCTCTCGCACTTCAACAACCCGCCCGACAAGTAAACACGTTGTGTTCTTTTTGTAATGCTGTGATCTAGGCAACACATGTGCCAGGCAGCCGATTTTGGCTCTCAGACGAGCACAACACAGGGCACGTGCACTAGGGTGAAGGATTCCGATCAATCGTGTGTGTGTCGGTGTGGGTGTGTGCATTTGTGCGTTCGTGTGTGTGCGCGTGTGTGTGTGC